TCAGACATCTTGCATAGCAGTATTTTTACAGATAAAACTCCAAGGACAAGAGGAATAAAGAAAAAATAAACAAATGGGACTATATCAAACTAAAAAGCTTCTGCACAGCAAAAGAAACCATCAACAAATGAAAAGGGAGCCCTGGCCAGTGTGGTTCAATTGGTTGGAGTGTTGTCATGGTAGAGAAGGGTCACGGGTTTGATTCCCTGTCAGGGCACATATCCAGATTGCAGGTTTGGTCCCTAGTTGGGTGCATACAGGAGGCAAGGAGACAATCAATTGATCTCTCTCTCTCTCTCTCTCTCTCTCCCTCTCCTCTGCCTCTCTCTCTAAAATCAATGGAAACATATCCTTGGGTATTAAAAAAATTAAAATAAAATGAAAAGGGAACTCACTGTATGGAAGAACATATTCAGCAATGATACGTCTGATAAGGGGTTAATTTCCAAAATATATAAAGAACTCCTACAACTCAACACCAGGAAGACAAACAATCCAATTAAAAAATGGGCAAAGAGAGGAGAGACCAAGATGGCGGCATAGGTAAACACTGGAGACTGCTGCCGCAAACAACCACTTCAAAAATACAACTAAAAGATGGAACGGACATCTCCCAGAACCACAGGAAGGCTGGCTGAGGAGAGACTCTTCAACTAGAAGGAAAAATAACAGCACACCGAGGCTCAGAGGAGGCGCAGTGTGGAAAATACTCAGGTGCGGAGGTGCGCGCGCAAAGCGGGCTGGTGGCTGAGAGCGCGGTTGTCGTTTTCGGTCAGGGGGGAGTCTCAGACTCTGAGCTCCAGATACGGGCGAATCGCTGGGGACTCGGACCCAAACGGGAGAAGCGGGAGTGTCTGGCATCAGTTGGAAGGCAGCTTTCCCTCCGAGGTTTGCAGCGGTTCCGGGGGTTCTGAGAAGCAGAGCCTCTGGGAACAGGACTGAGGGCACCATAACGGCTCCCTCCGCCCGCCCTGTTGAGCCCGCCCCGCCCAAGCCCTGCGCAGAGCCATTTGCCGGATCGCCTCAGGCAAAGGCTAGATTAGCACCTCCCCAGAGGACAGAAGTTTTCCGCGGCAGACACAGCTGATTCACACAGCCAGTCGGCCTGGTGGTCAAATCCCTCTAGTATTAACTACAACAATCAAGGCTCAACTAGAACAAGACTGCGCACAAAGACCACTAGGGGGTGCACCAAGAAAGCATAAAAAATGCGGAGACAAAAAAACATGACAGAAATGGAGGATATAGAGCTAAAAAACGCAATTTTGAGGGCTTGCAATAAACTTCTGGAGAGCCTCACGAAAACTAATGAGACCCTCGATGCTATGATAAAGAAACTAGAAATTAAGCATACACGCCCTGAAATAAAGAATATTACACCCAATAGCAGACCAGAGGAGCGCAAGAATCAAGCCAAAGATTTGAAATGCGAAGAAGCAAAAAACACCCAACCGGAAAAGCAAAATGAAAAAAGAATCCGAAAATACGAAGATAGTGTAAGGAGCCTCTGGGACAGCTTCAAGCGTACCAACATCAGAATAATAGGGGTGCCAGAAGATGAGAGACAGCAAGATATTGAAAACCTATTTGAAGAAATAATGGCAGAAAACTTCCCCCACCTGGTGAAAGAAATGGACTTACAGGTCCAAGAAGCGCAGAGAACCCCAAACAAAAGGAATCCAAAGAGGACCACACCAAGACACATCATAATTAAAATGCCAAGAGCAAAAGACAAAGAGAGAATCTTAAAAGCAGCAAGAGAAAGAGACTCAATTACCTACAAGGGAATACCCATACGACTGTCAGCTGATTTCTCAACAGAAACTTTGCAGGCCAGAAGGGAATGGCAAGAAATATTCAAAGTGATGAATACCAAGAACCTACAACCAAGATTACTTTATCCAGCAAAGCTATCATTCAGAATTGAAGGTCAGATAAAGAGCTTCACAGATAAGGAAAAGCTAAAGGAGTTCATCACCACTAAACCAGTATTATACGAAATGCTGAAAGGTATCCTTTAAGAAGAGGAAGAAGAAAAAGGTAAAGATACAAATTGTGAACAACAAACATGCATCTATCAACAAGTGAATCTAAGAACCAAGTGAATAAATAATCTGATGTACAGAATGAACTGGTGATTATAATGAATCAGGGACATAGAAAGGGAATGGACTGACTATTCTTGGGGGGGAAAGGGGAATGGGAGATGCGGGAAGAAACTGGACAAAAATCGTGCACCTATGGATGAAGACAGTGGGTGGGGAGTGAGGGCGGAGGGTGGGGCGGGAACTGGGAGGAGGGGAGTGCGGGGGGGGGAAAAAAAGAGGAACAAATGTAACCTGAACAATAAAGATTTAATTAAAAAAAAATGGGCAAAGAACCTGAATAGACACTTCTCCAAAGAGAACATACAAATGGCCAATAAACATGAAAAAATGTTCAACATCACTAATCATCAGTACATGAGTGGATAAAAAAAAGCTATGGTACATTTATACAATGGAATACTATGCGGCTTTACCAAAAAAAAAGGAACTCTTACCCTTTGCAACAGCATGGATGAACCTGGAGATTATTATGCTAAGTGAAATAAGCCATTCAGAGAAAGACAAATACCATATGATCTCACTTATATGTGGAATCTAATGAACAAAATAAACTGATGAACAAGGTAGGGCTGGAGGCATGGATACATGGAATAGACAGATCTCAGAGAGCCAAACATATATGCATATATGCATAGCCCATGGACACAGCAACAATGTGGTAAAGGCAGGGGTGGGGGAGGGAGACAGGGGAAGGGCAGTGAGGGCTGGGTGGTGGGAGCAAAGGGGGGATAAATGGGGGACATCTGTAATAGTGTCAACAATAAAAAATAAAATAAAATCTGAAACTAGTATACATATATATGTGTGTGTATATATATGTGTGTGTGTATATATGTATGTATATATATGCATATGGATATATATGTGTGTATATATATGTGTATATATGTGTGTGTGTGTGTGTGTGTCTTCACATCATTCACAACAATAAAATTCCAGGAGGACTGAAACCTAACTGAAAGGCAAAACTAAACAGGTTCTCAAAAAAGATACAAGAAGCCCGGCTGGTGTGACTCAGTGCATTGAGCATCGTCCCATGAACCAAGAGGTCACTGGTGCAATTTCGGTCAGGGCACATGGCCTGGTTGCATGGCCCAGTAGGGGGCATGCAGGAGGCAGCCAATAGATGTTGCTCTCTCATCAATGTTTCTATCGTTCCATCTCCCTTCATTTCTATCTAAAAATCAATAAAAAATGTTTTTAAAAAATATACAAGAAAAAAAACAACCTTGATAACTCTGTGTAGGAAAGGATTTCTTAAATAAGACACAGAAAGCACTAGCTATAAAAGATTTCTCTATTTGACTGCATTAAAATTAAGAATGTCTGTTCATGAAAAACACCATTAAAGTTAAATTACAGAGTGAAGAAAGGATACTTATCAATAATAATATATTCAAAACTACTATACTGATCTATATACTCAAAATGGTTAAGATGGTAAATTTTGTTATATATTATCATAATTTTTTAAAAACTCAAATCAATAGGAAAAAGAGATCATGAGCACAAAGAAAAATGGGCAAAAGACATATACTGGCATTTCACAAAAGAGGAACTCTAAATGATCATTAAGCATATGAAAAGTGTTCAAATTCATTTGTTTTCAGGAAAATGCAAATTAAAAATATAGTAACCACCATCCATCAGACTGGCAAAATGTTAAATATCTCATAATAGCAAGTATGGTTTAGAATGTAAAATAATAGAACCTGTATACACTGCTGACTACTTTAGAAAAGAGTTTTGCCTTAACTAGTAAAGGTGAAAATAAGAATACCTTATACTACCTGGGAGAAATACATGAATATATGCACCAGGATTCATGTACAGAAATATTCCCAGCAGCAATGCTATTAATAAAAGCAGGAACAACCCAAATATGCAAAACAGTAAAATTAAAATAATAAATTATGTACATGGTAGTTATAGAATATGGATTATTAGACAGCAATGAAAATGAACTAAAGGAACTATAACATTTTTAAAAATATATATTTTATTGATTTTTTACAGAGAGGAAGGGAGAGGGATAGAGAGTTAGAAACATCGATGAGAGAGAAACATCGATCAGCTGCCTCCTGCACATCCCCTACTGGGTATGTGCCCACAACCAAGGGACATGCCCTTGACAGGAATCGAACCTGGGACCCTTGAGTCTGCAGGCCGATGCTCTATCCACTGAGCCAAACTGGTTAGGGCAAGAACTATAACATTATTAACAAAATATTGACTAGACAGAAAATAATAGAAACTATAATTCTATTTATATAAAGATCAAAAGAAACAAAAGTTAACTATATTGATTAGGAATGCATATTTATATATAGATAATAAAACTAAAGAAGAGCAAGGAAGTGATTAAAATTCAGGAGCACCAGAAAAAAAAGAGATTGTGATGGGTTTCTAGGGTGTTAGCAAGGTTCTATCTCTTTCCCTGGGTGAATTACTGTATTTACAATATTTCAAATTGTACAATTTATGTTTTATGCAATTTTTGGTATGTGTTATGTTTCACATTTTTAAGTAAAAAATTAGAGTGCAATATATATGACTAGGTATATAATCTTGTACTGGGTAAGGCATAAGCATACTACCAAATGAGAAACTATAAAAGAAAAAATTAAAATCTATGCTGTTTAAGGATGTATATATAGTTCTAAGAACTAAAGGAAAAATATATGTGATTAGTGTAGAAACCAAGTGGGAACCTCTAGGAGAGAGAAGTAGCTATGATCAGAAAGCCATACACAAATTGCTTCTGGGTGCTGGTTTCTTGACCTGAGTGGTGGCAACATAGATGCTTATGTTATAACTATTTACTTAACTATATGTTTATCATATTTCACAATGAAAAAGCTATTTTAAAATATGTAAATTAAATATTCTTACCTGAATTCTTGAAATCAAATCCTGCATTCTTATGGTTCGGGCTTTTTCGACATAAGCTATCAGATCCATCATCTCTTCTGTTGTCTCAGGGATTTTTAATGCATGTTCTTTAATTGCTTCAAATTCACTGCAAATACTGAAATAATACTCTGCTTTACTATAGTTATGGTAATGAATGCTGTATTATACTCAATGAATGAGTTGTTATGATTACTATAAAATAGGAACTATGATATCCTAAAAATAATTGGTTAATTCACTAATATATCTTAAAATATTTAAGCATAACTTACCTAGTATAACTCAGCATACACCTATAAAATTAAGGTAACATTTTCATATAACATAGAGCATATTTTGGATCAGGTCCTAAATCTAAATCCTGCCTCAGCTGTTACTAGCATTGTGAACTAAGGCAAATCTCTGAGGTTTCGTTTTATATCTATAAAATAAAGTTAATAACATTCATCTTACTAGATTGTTGTAATATAACAATGAATGTAAAAGGGCCTAGTACATAGTATACTCTCATCTATATATACAAAAGCCTAAGCTACCAGCCGACCGGCCAACAGGCCAACTGGCTGGTAGCTATTATGGTAACTGACCACCAGGAGGCACACGCTCAATGTAGGAGCAGAAATCACAGGCATGGAAATATGGAACAGACTGATGAATCTCAGAGGGAAGAGGGGAGAGGGGAGGGTGGGAAGAGATTAACCAAATATCATATACGAAATACTAGAGGCCCAGTGCGTGCACTGGTGGGGTCCCTCAGCCTGGCCTGCGCCCTCTCGCAATCCAGGACCCCTCAGGGGATGTCAGAGAGCCAGTTTCCACCCAATCCCCGCAGGCCAGGCTGAGGGGCTCCACCAGTGCATGAATCTGTGCACTGGGACTCTAGTTTACTAATAACCATATTGTTAGTATAATTATTAGTTTTATTATTATTAGTGCCTCTTGTGAAACATGGTAGTATAGCAGGTAAAAAGATCAAACCCCTGTATACATTTTTAAAAATCTATAATTCTCTTAGAATATCCTATATATGAAAGAATAGATATTTTATCATCATTATTCAACTAAAGAACTTCATAGAACTTTTCCCCTGTATTGCATAGAACTTCGCAATATCTGTATTGTCATGCCATTACCAGAAATATCAGAAAAACCTCATGCAAAAACCAAGTATATAAGAGGTGATTAAAAAATTTAGTTTATTCAGGTATTTTATTTCCATTATGTGGTAAATATATTTCATTCATTTAATAAATAATTGAGTATCTAAAATATGCTACACAAAGTTCTAAGCAATGGAGATATAACAGCAAACAGATAAAGTCATTTATCTCATAAAGCTTATGTTCAAGTTGAGAGACAAAAGCACATAAATACATAACACAAAGTTAGGTAGTAAAAAGTGCTATGAAGAAAAAGTAATATAAAGAATTATGGAGTGTACTTCTTTCTCAAGATTGGGGTCTTTTTTTTGGTTTCATATAAATTTTTGGAGTGTTGGTTCTAGATTTGTGAAATATGCAGCTGGTATTTTAATATGGATTGCATTGAATCCATAGATTGCTGTGAGTAATATGGACATTTTAATGATGCTGACTCTACCAATCCATGCATATGGTATATTATTCCACATATTTATATCTTCCTCTAAATCTTTTTTTCAATGTCCTGTAGTTTTCTGAGTACAGGTCTTCTACAAACTCTTCGGTTAAGTTTATTTCTAGGTTTCTTAATTTTTTTGTTGCAATGGTAAATGGGATTGTTTAGTTTTTCTTTCTGAGAATTCATTACCTGTATCTATAATAATAAAAGCATAATATGCTAATTAGACTGGATGTCCTTCCGGACGACCTTCCAGATGAAGCCCAGGCTGCGAGGGAAGCCTAGGTCCCGGGTGCCAGAGGGAAGCCAGTGCTGGCAGCTGAGGGAAGGAAGGCCTACTCTTGCATTAATTTCATGCATCAGGCCTCTAGACTATATATATATATATATATAAGCCTAAGCAACCAAACAACTGAACAACCAGTTGACCCGTCGCTATGACATGCACTGACCACCAGGGGAAGACGCTCAACGCAGGAGCTGCCCCCTGGTGGTCAGTGTGCTTTCACAGCGCGAGTGCCACTTAGTTGATCGACCCAGCCTGGTGGCCCACCAGCCTGGCGGCAGCCACTCACTTCCTCAGTAGTCCTGCAGGTCTAATCTCTGGAGAACGGGCCAGGCAACGATGGATCAGAGCCGCTGGCACAATCCTGACAGCACTGCCAGCCTCCTGGAAGGAGGCTCCCGACAACCGACAACCATTGCGAACATCAGCAGGATGGATCTAGATCCCTGGCTGGCAAGGGTGTCCTACCGCCCGCCCGGAGGACCGACCACATCCCAGCCCTCCAGCCCCTTCGGGACAAGCGCCAGATGCAGGGCTCACAGCTGGCAAGTGCCGCTGCAGTGGCACGAGCCCACAGCAGGGGCAGCGGGGCTGAGATGAGTGAGAGCGGCAGGCAGGAGCAGCAGGCAGTACTGGACTGCAGGTTTGGCTTGATCCCCACAGGCCACCCCGAGGGACCCCACCTGTGCAAAAATTCATGCACCAGGCCTCTAGTTGGGTAAAAATACCATTGATTTCTGGATATTAATTTTGGATTCTGCTACATTGCTGAATTCATTTCATTAAATCTAGTAGTTTTTTGGTAGTCTTTACGATTTCTATGTACAATATCATGTCATCTTCGAATAATGACAGTTTTACTTCCTCATTTCCAAATTGGATGCCTTTTATTTCTTCTTCTTTTCTGATCGCTGTGGCTAGGACTTCCAGTACTATGTTGAATAAGAGTGGTGAAAGCAGACATCCCTGTCTTGTTCTTGATCTTAAGGGAAATGCTTTTACTTTTTATCCATTGAGTATGATGTTGGCTGTAGGTTTTCCATATATGACCTTTATTATGTTCAGGTATGACCCTCTATTCCCACTTTGCTGAGAGTTTTGTTTTTAATCTGAAATAGGTACTGGATTTTGTCAAATGCTTTTTCTGCAACTATTGATATGATCATGTGATTTTTATCCTTCATTTTTTAATGGGGTGTATCACATTTATTGATTTGCAAATATTGTGTCAGCCTTGCATCCCCAGAATAAACCCCGCTTGGTCATGGTGTATAATCTTTTTGATGTATTGCTTGATCCGATTTGCTAATATTTTGTTGAGGATTTTAGCATCTACGCTCATCAGGGATATTGGCCTGTAATTTTCTTTCTTTGTAGTCTTTATCTGGTTTTGGAATTAGGCTAATGCTGGCTTCATAAAGAGCTTGGAAGTGTTCCCTCCTCTTGGTTTTTTGGAATAGTTTGAGGAGGAAAGGTGTTAGTGCTTCTCCGAACCAAAGGTAAAACTCCCCTGTGAAGCTGTTTAAACCAGGGCTTTTGTTTGCTGGGAGTTTTTTTTATTACTGCTTCAATTTCATCAGTAGTTATCAGCCTATTCAGGTTTTCTAATTCTTCCTGACTGAATTTTGGAAGACTGTAAATTTCTAGGAATACATCCATTTTGTCCAGGTTGTCCAGCTTGTTGGAGTATAGCTGTTCATAGTATTTTTTTTACAATCCTTTTACTTCTGTGGGGCCCATTGTTACTTTACTTCTTTCATTTCTGATTTTGTTTATTTTGGTCCTCTCTCTATGTTCTTAATGAGTGGCCATATCACTCTCATATGATTTCTCAAAAGAAACTTTGCAGACCAGAAAGGAGTGGCAAGAAATATTCAAAGTGATGAATAGCAAGGACCTACAACCAAGATTACTCTACCCAGCACAGCTATCTGAATTGAAGGTCAGATAAAGAGCTTCACAGACAAGAAAAAGCTAAAGGAGTTCATCACCACAAAACCAGTATTGCATGAATGTTGAAGGGTATTTTTTTAAGAAAAGGAAGAAGGAAAAGAAGGAGGAAGGAAGGAAGGAAGGAAGGAAGGAAGGAAGGAAGGAAGGAAGGAAGGAAGGAAAGGAGGAAGGGAGGAAGGAAGGAGAAATAGAAATAGTAGTAGTAGTAGTAGTAGTAGTAGAGGAGGAGGAAGAAAAAGAAGGAGGATGAGGAAGAGGAGGAGGAGGAGGAGAAACTAAATACATATCAAGTATTGAATCTAAAAATCAAAATAAAAGAACCAGAAGGCTATTAAACAAAATAAACTGATGAATAAAATAGAATCAGAGGCATGGAAACATGGAACAGACTGATGATTCTCAGCAGGAAGAGGGTGGGGGCGGAAAGAGATTGACTAAAGAACTTATATACATATATGCATTACCTATGGACATAATAGGGTGGTGAAGGCCAGAGCAGGGTGGGAACTGAATGGAGGGGGGCAATGGAGGGAAAATAGAAGGATATCTGTAATACTCTCAACAATAAAGATTTTAAAAAATAAAATACAATGTTTCTTTTCTATGCTAAAAACACACACACACACAAATGGGCAAAGGACCTAAATAGACACTTCTCCAAAGTGGATATACAGAAGGCCAATAGACATATGAAAAAATGCTCAATGTGACTAATTATCAAAGAAATTCAAATTAAAATGACAATAAGGTATCACCACACATCTGTTAGAATGGCTATCATCAACAAATCAACAAATGACAAGTCCTGGTGAGGATGTGGAGAAAGGGAACCCCAGTGCACTTTTGGTGGGAATGTAGACTGGTACAGCCACTGTGGAAAACAGTATGGAGTTTCCTCAAAGAATTAAAAATGGAACTGCCTTTTGTCCCAGCAATCCCACTTCAGGAAATATATCCTAAGAATCCCAAAACACCAATCAGAAAGAATATTTGCACTCCTATTTCACAGCAGCATTATCTACAACAGCAAAGATCTGGAAACAGCCCAAGTGTCCATCAGTAGATGATAAAAATGCTGTGGTACATTTACACTATTGAATACTATGTAGTTGTAAAAAAAAGAAGGATCTCTTACTCTTTGAGACAGCTTGGATGGATCTGGAGAGTATTATGCTAAGTGAAATAAGCCAGTCAAAGAAAGATAAGTGTCACATGATCTCATATGTAGAATCTAATGAACAAAATAGAGCCAGAGACATAGAAGGATGGAACATACTGATGGATCTCAGAGGGAAGACGGGGGTGGGTGGATGGGTGGGGAGATATTAACTGGGGAACTTATATGCATATATGCACAGCTCATGGATACAGACAATAGTGTGGTGAATGCCTGGGAGGGGTGGGTGCAGGGTGTAGGGTGGTCAATGGGAAAAAGGGGGGAATATTAGTAATACTTTTAACAATAAAGATAATTTTTAAAAAAAAAAGATTATGTAGTGTAGAGAAAGGACTATTATTTTATACAGTGGCCAGCGAAGGCCCCTTTAGGGAGGTGATATTCAGCATGAGAAAAGAAAAAAGTGAGTCATTCAAATAACAGAAGGAAAACTTCCAAGAAGAAAACACAGCAAGATAGAAAGCCTGAGGTAGCAATAAGCTTGGCATATTTTAGAAATGGCAAGCAGGCCAACATGAATACAAAGGCAAGTTAGAGAGGTAAGTAGAAATCAACTCATGTAGGGCTTGATAGTTAAGACTAAAATTTTAGGAGGTATGTGTTAATATGGTTAATGCAAAAAAAAGACATATGATCATATTAGGGGTGCCTTCTTCTTTCTAGAGCAGACTCTGAGTGTTTGGGGGAGAGACATTGCAGCAAAAGAAAAGGAGGCAAACAAAATAAGAGCATGGTAGCTCAAGCAAATGGTAAACCAAACTGTGAAGTAAGCAAAATGCGCGCACACACACACACACACATGCACACACACACACACTCACATTCAGCTAGCAGGCCACAGTTTATTAATCCAATTATATAGCCACCTTGCAAAGTAGGTATTAATGTCTTATTAATTGAAAGTCTACAGTCTTTTGATTTTTTGCAACCTGTGTCCAAACACTAGTTTATTTATATTTCTTTTTTTAAAAAAATTCTGGGTTGTCTCAAAACTACCCTCAAATAATAGCAAACAAAAAGAAACCAGACCAGGCCTGGCTGGTGGGGCTCAGTTGGTTGGGTGGCGTCCTGAGCACCAGGAAATTGCTGGTTCAATTCTAGGTAAAGGGCACATACCCTGGGTTGAGGGCTCATCCCTGGTAGGGGACGTGCAGGAGGCAGCTCATAGATGTTGCATTCTCACATCAACGTCTCTCTCTTTCTCTGTCTTCAGAGAGAATTAAGGAGATCCCTCTCTCTGAAAAATCAATAAACTATCTTAAAAAAGAAAGAAACCAGATCAGTGGTACTACAAAGGAACCTCCCTAGGAGGCAGTTATGGAGAAAAAGTTGTAAGTACTTATATTTTAATCTTTTGTTTTTAAACAAGTGTTATTATGAGCAAAATATTTCTTTTAGCCCAATACTTCTAAGTTTGGCAATAAATTCCACTTACCATTCATTTTCGTTTCTATGTTTTGTAGCTATGTCATTTAATAATTTATTTGCAAAGGCTCTTGCTTTATTTGTTAGGCCTTTCTTCAAATCTTCACAATCCAAACGAACCATAGGGAAATGAACCCACTGAGGTAAAAGCATTATTTCTGAGGCAAGGTTGAAAAATTTTTCTAAAAACTTAAAAAAACACACAAAAAAATGCTTAGCATTTTAAAATTCATCAGTGATTCTATATTACAGTATTGTGGTATAGTATTATGGTGGACTTCTTAATTATGTAATATAAATGTAAACTCATTTCTTTTTGCTAATTGATTAAATTTGTCCCCTTTGTTGCATAAATCATTTTTCACCTGTCCTTTCACTAAGGAATTTGCCAATCTACCAGTAAATATCCAATATGGTACCATTTATAACATCCCTATCTAAAAATTTCAGGCCCTGGCTCAGTTGGTTAGAGCGTTGTTCCAATACACCAAGGTTGTGGGTTCAATCCCAGTCAGGGCACATTCAAAAATCAACCAATGAAGGCATAGATAAGTGGAACAACAAATCGATGTTTCTTCTCTCAATATTCTCACATTCATTCTCTCATTCTCTCTCTCTCTCTCTCTCCCCCACTCCCGTTCCTCTTTCTCTAAAATCAATAAATTTAAAAAATTTAAAAATAAAAATTTTAAAAGTGAAATTTCTCTCAGTAACTATTAAAAAAAAACTTTTGCCAAAGTCAACTCATCTCTCTGTTTAGAAACAAATCTATATCATGTGGCAATTTGTGTAGCTAACAAATACTTGCTTGAGCCATACCTGATGCCTCACTGAAGATTCTAATGCAGTCTTCAGGAAACAAAGTATAAGGAATTTTTGGTTTTGATCAAAATAATCCAAAAAAGAAATATTGTGTTCTGCCATTACCAAAAATCCAACATAATGGAATTTATACAACTTCTTAATACCCAGACACTGGGATAATTTTTAACAATTAAACAAAGTAGTACAAAGAAAACCTAACAAGTTATGTTGCATTTTGTGAAAGTGAAATATACCTACCAACTTTGGGCAACTTTGACTTAATTCCATATTCCATCTTTAATGTTGCCTCTCTACCTTCTTACCCCATCTCCATCCCCCACCTATTAAAGATATTTTCCCTGTACTTCTCTCTCTCTCAAGGCTACCCTATTTCTCTAGTCTCCATTCATTTTTGTTTCTACGGTTGAGCTTAAAATTTTCAGTGTTTAAGGGAGCTGAGAATAGTAATTAATTCAAAGACTACATTGAGCACCTGCCTGATTCTTGGTTGGAAACATAGCAAAGAGACTAGAAAGAGCTAATGGACACTGGAAAAGGGACAGATATTTTCTTATTCTCAAGTATCATCATCTAGTTTTTCTGGATTGTAATTAACTGATATGAAAAAGAAAATTGGCTGGATCAAAGAAAATGTGGGACACTGGAAACACAAATGTCCATTTACAGTAGAAAAGATGGCATATCAATACAATGAAGTGCTATGCTATAATAAACTATGACTACATGCAAAATATAGTATACAAACTACAATTACAGTATGTCTAGAATTGACAAAGAAATGCAGGGATATATACTAAACCTAAAAGTAAATTTTAAATATATATTTTTATTCATTTCCTTCCTCTCTGAAATCAATAAAAATAAATAAATATATATATGTATGTATGTATATATATGTGTGTATATATATATATATATATATATATATATATATATATATATATATATATATAACATTAAATACAGATTTATATAGTGGAATACTACTCAGCAATAAAAGGAAGAAGTTACTGATAGACACAACAACATAGATAAATCTCAAAAACCTTACATTAATATAAGAAACCAGACACAAAAGAGTATGTATGTATGATTTCATTAGAAAAGAAAAACCTATAATTACTGAAAGTATGTCAGTAGTTGCCTAAGGTCAGGTTTAGGGAGAACTGACTGGGATGGCATATAAGGAAACTTTCTGAGGTGGTGAAAACATTTTATATCTTGACTCTGGTGATAGTTGCATTGGTGTATAAATTTGTCAGAACTCATTTAACTATACAATTAAAATGGGTGCATTTTATTATATGTAAACCAACCTCAATTAAGTTGTTTTTTTAAAGTTAATAATTCTTGAAATTAATCAAGAATGGAAAAGGGAATGGATTGATGAATAAATATGTGATTAAGCTAACATAGTAAAATATTAGAATCTAGGTGGAACTCTTCATAAAATTTCTTCAACTTCTCTGTATGCTTAAATAGTTCATAATAAAATGTTGAAAAATTAAAATGTCTATATTATACTTTATGAATAAAAACTAAACAGTCAATAGAGAGAAGATGAAAAAACAAAAGCATACTTTTAACCAATAGAACAAGGTCCCTTCAAAAGGTAGAAATCTTTTCTCATTTAATTACTTTTTCCCCACTGCTTCTGGAATTATCATTCTGAAACTCTGATCCAAGTATATTACTTCAATGGCTAAAAACCTACAAAACAAAGTACAAACTCCTAAGCAAATATACTTGAAGGTTTTCACCTATAGCTCCAACTTACATTTCCAACTTCATATTCTTTTTTTTTTTCATTTATAAATGTACTAGAGGCCCAGTGCATGAATTCATGCACAGGTGGAGTCTGGCCAGGCCAGCCCCAATAGGGGCAGATCAGGGCTGGGCCTGCCTGGCGAGGGGCTGCAGGGGGTTGGCCGGCTGGCTCCAACCCCGATTGGAGTGGGGGGCCAATTGGGGGTGGGGCTGGCTGAGGGGAGGGGCTGTGGGCTGATGGGGTGGGGAGGCCAATCAGGGGCCAGGCCAGCTGGGGAGAGGGGCCGTGGGAGGTTGGCCAGCTGGTCCTGCCCCTGATCAGAGTGGGGGGACGATCAGGGGTTTGTCCAGCCAGGGGGACGGGCTACAGAAGGTTGGCCAGCCGGCCCCAACCCCTATTGGGGTTGGTGGCAATTGGGGGTGAGGCCAGCCAGGGGGTGAGGCAACAGGGGGTTGGCTGGCCCCCCCACCCTCAATTGGGGTAGGGGAGGCCAATTGGGGATGGGGCCAGATGCGGGGAGGGGCTGCAGGAGGTTGGCCGGCTGGCCCCTCCCCCTACTGGGGTAAGGGGGCAATTGGGGGCGTGGCAGGGGGGTTGGCCACCGGCCCCACCCCTGATCTGGCCGGTTTGCAGGCTGAAATGGGTGTCATAGCAACCAGTTGTTCTGTCCTTCCAGTCATTACCTTGTTCTGGTTGCTGGCTTTTTATATATATAATAGAGGCCCGGTGCACAAAAATTTGTGCACTCTGGGGGGAAGGGGGGGTCCCTCAGCCCGGCCTGTGCACTCTCGCAGTCTGGGACCCCTCGGGAGATAACGACCTGCTGGCTTAGGCCTGCTCCTGGGTGGCAGAGGGCAGGCCCAATCCCTAGGTGCAGCCCCTGGTCGGGCTCAGAGCAGGGCTGATTGGGGAGTTGGGGCACCGCCCCCTGTCATGCACAGAGCAGGGCAGAT